CTGAGCTGCGCCACGGTGGGCCAGCGCTCTGGTGGAGTCGGGCGGGACTGCGCCCCGGTGGGCGTGCCCTCTGGTGGAGACGGGCGGGACTGCGCCCCGGTGGGCGTGCCCTCTGGTGGAGTCGGGCGGGACTGCGCCCCGGTGGGCGTGCCCTCTGGTGGAGACGGGCGGGACTGCGCCCCGGTGGGCGTGCCCTCTGGTGGAGTCGGGCGGGACTGCGCCCCGGTGGGCGTGCCCTCTGGTGGAGACGGGCGGGACTGCGCCCCGGTGGGCGTGCCCTCTGGTGGAGACGGGCGGGACTGCGCCCCGGTGGGCGTGCCCTCTGGTGGAGTCGGGCGGAACTGCGCCCCGGTGGGTGTGCTGTTGCTACAGGGTGCTCTCGGATGGGCTTCTATGATAGAGCACTCAGCTGAGCTTTTCTGCCGCTGCACTTGGGTCTGCTGGGAGAAAAGGGACTGGTGACACCGTGGAGTCTGTGTGGGGAGAGGGGTTGGGGCTTCACGGGACTCATACAGCGGCACCCCAGGGTGGGGAAGTCAGAACCGGGCTGGTTGCGAGGAGCTGACCCCAACATACTAATCATTCACAGCCAAAAATAGATTTTTCCCAACTTTTGGGGAACTAACGTGACCCCCTGCCTCAGTTTCCCAGCACCAATGCTCTGCGTGAGGAGAACTCATAGAGGTCTGGGTCTGTCAGTCCTGGGGGCAGGATTCGAACTCACCAATCAGGTCTGTTGGGTACACTTCCTGTCTCTGCTGGGCCAGTCCCTTTTCCTGTCTGTGCCTCAGTTTCCCATGCTTTGATCTGTCGAAGTCTTTCAAAGCTGAAACGGTCCGATGTCTGGGTGTAGGTGGCGTGCAGCGGGGTCCATGCAGCGCCTGGCACTACGGGGGCTAGGATCTTACTTATGGAAGGTAGGGTAAGCCTGTTTCCCAACGGTTGGCAGAGGCGTGGCTGGGCTGTATAGTTTTTGGCTCGTTATTTCCATGCTGTGAATCAGTTTTTGGCTTGTTTTTATTGCGGGTGATTCTGGTATTTCTGGGTTATGATTTTAAGTCGGGTTTGGGGCACGGATGTTTGTGCTAATTATTGGGGGGGATGGGGGTTTAAAGATAACAAAGCTTGTGAAAATTAGCCTGATGTAAATAAAGAAAATGGATAAAGCAGCAGAGGAGGCGAGTTTCGATTCCGATCTGTCACACTGGGACACGGGGCTTTTTCCCTCTAGGGGGTGCCGGCTCCCACCCAGCCCTGGGTCAGGGCTTAGCTGGCTCAGGAACGGGGCACTGAATAAAAAGGTGAAGCTGAATTCCGTCTCTTCCTTTCAACCGAGTTTATTCTCTTAATTGCAATTAATTTATTTACAGCTGTTAGAATAAATACCATGTGGGACTCTTTGCCCCACGTCCATTGTCTGGAGTGGGGGAGGGTTGGAGGGCTGCCACGGGAATTATCCATGCAGTCCCCCACCTTTAAAGGTGGGCGGTGGAAAGGGAATCGCCATCGGCTTGTAGCAGTAGAGGGCTTATGACACACGTGAGATTAGGTCTGAATCCAGCCCCTAGAGGGTGCTTGGCCATGCAGAACACACCAGAGGGGTCTGAGGGAGACCCCTAAAGACACTTTCCCCCGTGTGTAAGGTTTGACAGCTATGTGGGGCAGAGGGGGTTGAAGGGAAAGTAGGGGAGATGTGGGGCAGGATGGGGACCCATAGAGCTATAGCCAAGGGTCCTGCTGGTGCAAAGCACTGTGGGTATTCCCCATGGAAAGCCCCTTTGGACACTGTTACCCATAAACCTTCACTGTTGCTTTTCCCTGCCCCCAGTTGGGAAGACAAGCCTGTTACTACAGGAAGTGATGTCATCAGGAAGCCAGGTGTGTGACATCATGAGGTGGTTGTATCAGGCCACGTGCAGGTGTCCACGAGGGAGGCTGGGACCTCAGAGGATGGGGTGGGGTTGGCAGCAAGCGCACATGGGCTGGAGGAAATGAAGGAAGGGACAGGAAGTGACGATGTCAGTGACATCATCAGAAATGGCACTGAGGAGGAAGTGATGTCAGAAGAATCTGAAGAAGACATGCTGCCGAGTGACATCACAGACCAAGGAGAGGAAAGAGGAAATGACATCACAGGACAGGAGGAGGAAGCAGGAAATTTCTTCATTGTGACCTGGGGGAGAGAAGGAAGTGACCTCATTGGCCTTGGGAGGAAAACGGGAAGTGAGGTCACTGGGCCGCCGTGAAAACGATTACGCCTTTTCTCTCCGAAGGAAGTGATCTGGGTCTAGCTGGTGTGAGAGGAAGTGATGTCACAGCGTGTCGCCAGGAGGAAGTGACCTCGCCAGGCCAGGCGGCGGCAGGAAGTGACCTCGCCCGTCAGATGAAGGTGGACTCCTTGTGGCTGGGCCGCGGGGAGC